CTGCAAAATATTTTCCGTGAAAGAAAAAGATAACTAGCTCAGGGAAAAGTTTGGAAGAACTTGATAAAGCCGCTGATCGTGTTAGGACAGCATTTCTTGTTGTGCCAAACTTAAACTCGTCTTTCTATAATGATAGATGGTAACACGGAAAATTTTTTACTTCTTTCTTAATTGCCACATGCCCCTATCTGTATTCGAGCGCACGTTAGACTAGGATTGAGGCAACATGAATCATTTGCAAAACAAGAGAAACTCCTTATGTTTTGGTGATTATCAATATTTTCATGTATAATTAGGTGTCTCTTGCTGGATTTTTAGAAATGTGTATTTTCATAAGTTCATGCATGTTTCTTTAATGGTTTAAATTTGCCTTATTTATTTTTTGCCTTATTGTGCCTTTTTTAATAGGTGGATTGTGTGAGGAAATATGTCCTAGTGGGAAATCCTGTCGTCAGTTTGGACAATACGTCTGTCTTTGCGAAAAAGGAAAGAGAGGAACAAATTGCGAAGAAAACGGTACGTTATCTTTATTCCCTTGTGTTGAGTTATGTAAAGATAAACAGAAAATTTCTATCATATAGATTTCTATTGCACACTCTTTTCGTCACTTCTACACTAATTTCAACACTGGCAATGCAAATGCTTAAACTACCGATACACAAGAATATGTAAAACATATATGCTTTAACCTCCGGACGCAGTGCTCGTTTATTTATGTGTGTTTTTCAGTAATGTAAAAAAAAATAAATAAATAAGGCAAATGCGAATTAATTTTGAAACTCAAGGGAAAAGCGCTNATGTTTAGCAAAAGTAAAAAAAAATAAATAAATAAATAAATAAATAATAAAAACAGTAAAGCGAAACGATACATATCCCGGTTTACAGGTCTCAAGCTCATAAGACGTAATTTCAATATGTCTCGTTATGTCATGCCTTACATTACTTTAATTTCCCTTCCTCGGTTTTCGACAAAACACTACTCCCCGGTCAGCTGACCCCATACCAACCCACCCAAAAAAATCAACGGGAAAATAAAATTTAAAAAAGCTCAGAATTATCAAAGGGACGACTTCAAGTTTACAAATAAATTAAGCTTACCTGAAATTTCCAAAATGGCGCTTACGGAGGACGAGTTGCAAATTTCCCACTCTCTTCTCCTTTGATTGCACGTGCAGGTTTTGTTTACGGGAAATCGAGCAAGGAATTACGTTGTTATATCGTCAGGTGTGATATTCGTAGCCATCAGAAAATTATACCGCTTCATGCTACAGAAACCGGGATAAGCTCCGGCCTGATGGGCCATTTGGCTCGTATGCAGACTTTACCTTACCTACCTTACTTTTTAATGAGAATCAACATTTCAGTAAATATTATTTTGTTTATTTATTACTGGCTGTGTTCTATACATGTGCACACACATAAAGCATGCGTCTGTACATGTTCTAGATAAAGTTTCTCCAGGATTCACGTTGGCTTAACCTGCTCTTTATACTTGTCTAATGGGTGTTTCTAATTTTATTAACGTCGTTTTACTTTTGTTCCTGTTTACAGAACAATTAAGGAATACTTTTGATGTTGGAATTGAATTCAAACTAGATTATAAACCAGAGTATGAAGACTTAGAGCATCCAACAACGAAAACACTTGTCAAACGGATAGAAGATCCTGTAAGTAGTTTTTCGCGACTTAGAGTAGCGAGAGCATATTATTTTGCGTGTCATATGAATTGTATCAAGTTTAACTTTAAAGGAGAAGGTCACTCCAAAAAGCTTCCTCTTTTTTGTCTTCGCCTCTTAAGTGTCCGTTATCCTGAAGAAATTCGCAAGAAGTGACTTCGGAGGCCGCCATTTTGAAACCGTTTTGGCAGCGAGCAACCTCGTTCCTAGGCTCCCTCGCCCCTGCCTCCCTTGGTCGTTGGGAGAAAGATCCTGGTTGCGGCTGGTCACGTGCCCAACCAGAATCTGGGTGGTAAAAAAATCCGTTGGGTGGGTAAGGGTGGCAGAGTGTTTTGATTGTTGCCGTGAAAAACTTTGTGGGTTTCGAAACCTCGAGCAGTCGCTAAAAACTACCCGCTTTATCGGGGTTAAAAGTCGAATTTTGCGAATGAAGAATGCTACATTATTTCTGCCGTCTCTAAATTATAGAAGACTTTCGTTCTCAAAAATATTTGGCAGTCGAATTACTACAAACTTTTCGACGGTTACCACATGTAAAACGTCACGTTCACGTATCGAATCGAAGTGAAACCAGGGAATCAGTCTCTTGAATCTTTGAATTCGGAGGTAATTTATTTTCTTCTTTGCGCGGTATTTTGGATGTTAACAGCATTTCTGTCACAGCCGCCGGCAAGGCCGATCCGATTAGTCGAGCATTCTGACTTGCATTTGACTTACAACAATAAAAAATGATTTTATACAGTTTTGTACAAGATCGACAAAAATTATTCATTGACTCTACCCCGGAGGAAAAGTGGCCAATGAGCAGCTGCAACCAGGGTCTTTCTTCCAGCGATCAAGGGGGACAAGAGAGGGAGCCTGGGAAGGAAGTTGGGCAGCCAGGTCGTGTTTGTGTGACGTCATTCCGTATGACTCGAAGTTGGCGAGAAGGAGAAAAATTTGCAACTGACTTGGCATCCTTCACAAGGTCAGCAAAATCTTTTTTTTTTTTCCAAGCGATTATTCACTTCACTATCTTCAATGCTATCATTTCGGAGTTTGCAGCATATTTGGCTCAAAATAATTAAATATGGCTCAAGAACAACCATGACCCAGAGTGGTAGTTAAAAGGCTCTTCGGAAGCTAGTTGTACAAAATCTCTCTGGCAGAATGACGTCACGAAAACGCGCCCTGGCTCCTGAGTACCGTTCAAAATGGCATCAACGATGTTCGAATTATGGGCTTCTTCGGAGACGAATTTCATAAGGAAAACCTACACTTTAGAGGCTGAAACTTCGGTGAGTGGCTAAACCTAGTGCAAGGTTTTCATTAGCGTTGACAAAAAATGTACGTTTTCTGGAGTGACTTTCTC